ATACCCGCATTTGAACCTTTTCTTTTACTATTATTTCCTTATTAGTCATCCCTTACTTCCAACCGATGACCCGGAAGATTCAACCTTGGCTTGGTATTAGATGCCTGGTGCCCTCGTCTCGTCTTGGTACATGATTTCATAGTGCATGTCCTTTTCCTCCAATTTTGGTTGGCTGGTCCTCCAGACACGCCCGGTATTTTTTATCTAACTGGTTTCTCGCTCGACTTCTATAGCCCCTAGTCTTGGTGGGTAGGGCCCCACTACTGGTTTTTCACGCTAGCTGGCCAGGGTTGGTGTACTCCGTAACGGCCTCGCAGATTTCTGGCTTTTCTAAATTGGCGGTCAGGTTGGTAAATCCCCTACTAAAGGATCTTGTTGTCACTCAGTTCTCCAATCTCAGTTCTAACTTCCAAATTTGGGTCTTTCCTGTGACACTGTTGAAGATTGTAGTTATTTCTTACTCGGGGCTTTCCAAACGGGTTTCAATCATCCCGGTTGTATTTATTTGTATTAATTAATAAACTAAAAAATAAATATAAATAAAATAAATATAAAGTCATATAATTATAATAGTTATTTAGAGATCAAAATTTATATCTGTATGATTTATATATGCTATATATATATATATATTTTGAAAGATTACTAAAATATTTAAATATTTTTTTTATTTTTGTAATAAAAATATATATATATATATATATATATATTTAAACTTAGGCAATTTCACTAATGTTTTATTAAGATTCTAAGTATAATATCGATATACAAAATACTGAATAACTATACCCGTTTACTCTTAATTTGCAAATCTGACATCATCTGGCTGCTTTAAAAGTGCCCAAGTGCAACCCACTGCATTAATCTAAAGTCTAAGATTAGAGGCTTATGTTAAACTAGCCTAATTGCTACACCAAAATGGCTTCTTCTCTTCTTTGTATTCCTTTAACTAACAAGAAATATAATAAGGACTATAAAAGGAGAGAGAGTTTAAAAAAAAAGAACATATCAAGAAGACAAAAATACTAAAAAGAAAAACAAAGGTAAAAAAAAAAAAAAAAAAAAGAGTAAGAAAAACAAAAAAGAAAAAAAAAAACTCTTTCCTGTTTCTCTGAAAATCATAGAAAATTAGAAATTTAACTAAAAAGTAAACAAATGACAGAACACATCTACTTTATTAAATATTAACCAGTGTTAACCAACAACAGAGAAAGCTACCAACCAACTAACTCCAGAGAGATAGGGAAAAACAAGCACAGTCGTATCAACTACGAACCCCCCTCTTCTTCGAGAAGCTCACTTCAGAGCACTATACCCGATATGGCTCACTGAAAGTCCATTTTACAATCTGTAACAGACACACTCTTCGGCGGCACTACTGAATCCATAGAATTATTTCCCATCTTACCCGAACCACCTACAAAAAGAAATAAACCCAATAATCAAGCAACTCAAGAATATTCTTTTTCACCAAGTATACACTCCACTTTGGGGGAATCTAGTTTACTCCTATCTGCCGATTGTATGACATTACCAACAGCAAAACAAAATGTAAACAACCCAAACAACTCAGTACCAGACCCACCAGAAACCCCAACAATAAACACCCCACCTAAAATTTCCCACGCCTCTGATCAAAACAAAACTGATAACCCGGCTTACACTACAACTGATGACATAATAGAAATTGAACCCACCACTCAGTTAAATACATCAGGAAGTAGGATCGATTTTCCATTTACGTGACTTCTGACCTAAATTCAGAATCGGAATCATTCACCTACTTACATTAATTTTCATTCAACTAATTTATTAAATTTAATTTCAGTACACGTAATTATGTTGTTAAAATAATAAAAGAGTAAAGTCCGTATTAAATTCTAGTAGAAATCAAATACAAATTTCACCCGCATATGACCTGTATAGTGGGTTTCACTTGATTATAAAATTTTTTTTTTTTATTGCATTTGTAAATTAATGTTTATTATAAATTCGGTATTAAACAAATAAATCAAAGACAAATCTAATAAATTAAATTGATTAATCAGCAGTGTTAAAATAATCATGTGAGAACTAAGAAAAGCTTTATTAAGTATTAAATCAATTTCTTTTAAATGGGTTAGAGAATGATTATAAACTTCATAATTTAGAAATAATTAAATAAATTAAAATAATAAATGTAAATGAACCAGAAATTAATATGTGAATAAAGAAAATCCATTAATTCTGTTCTATACAAATTTTATTGTGAAATTTCTGTTCAATATGTCTTCTATTTATTGTATCTAGTAAATGCAATAGCAATTAAATAAATTACTAACATTATCTTGAGATTCAGACTGTTATCTAAAACCATGTAGTATGCATAAGTTTTTCAGTTTAATTATTATAATACACAAATCTTATTTTTAATTAAACTTACTGTTACTTGATGTATTTGAATCGACTTTATGATATAAAAGCCCTAAAAAATGAAGCCACTAATTAATAAATTAGAAAAAGATCTTAATTATAACTACTTATCGACTCATCAAAAAAAATTCGCTTTAAAATTCATTTCAATATTCAATAATTAGTTCACTTTTAACAAAATAAAAGATTGAGATTAGTTATCAAGTCTTTTTGTTTTTTTGTAATTGTTAACTTTCAAAATACAAAAATAACACAACCTCTCAATATTATACTACAATGCCTTTCTGCACTTCTTGTTCGCGTACTCTTTCTTTCGCTGAATTCATATATGAAGGCAAAAGCTATAAAACTTGTGCTAGATATATAACTAACAAAGCTATCAAAAAAGATAATTTAGATGAAAAAACCATAATTAAAGCAATTTCTATTCAAGATATTAGTGATTATATCACTAATGTGATAGCAGATTTAGAACATTGTTCGGAACTTTCTCTTGTTTTTCGTATTCAGCTTGATGAAATTATACTTGGTATTGTAGATACAGATGTCAAAGCAATAACTATATTAATAATCAATGAAATTGAGAATGGTGATGGATATAATTAGACTGCTACTGCACTAAACCTTTCATCCCGTTATATTGGTATTGGAAATGTGTATTATACATGTTTTCAAAGTTATGGGCTTGAGTGTGAATATAAAAACTCAAGCAGAAAAAGAATTTCTCGATTTAATTGTAATGGTAAAATATCGATCAAAATCGATATCCTAGTAGCAAAAGCTAAAGTAATTTTAAAGCACATGAGAAACCTGATGATATTGTAGTATCATTAGAAATAAAACAAGAAATTGAAAGAAATTTGAACCTAAGTCCAGTAGACTTACGAACTCACCTTCGTAGTAAAAATTTTGATATGTCAAAAATTACATATAAACAAATTCATTATTGGTAGTCTTATTATATACAATGGTTCTATAAAACTAATAAAAATCACATTATTTCTATGCAAAGGTTTTTTGAACAACAGAATGAAAATAATTGCAACTTATATTTTCAACTTGAAACTGATAACATAACAGCTATTGGTTTTACCATGCAGTAACACAATATACAGAAGTACATTGTGATACTACTTATAAAACTGCCAAAGGTTGATTTGAACTTTATTGAATTGTTGGTGATGTAGAAGGCGCAAGTTAGCAATTTATTTTTCTATATAAAAAATATTAAATAAATGTAAAATTAGATATTAAATATTTTGTTTAGCATATTAATAAAATTATCATGATAAATTTATGAAATTTGAGTATTTAACTAAACTATAAAGTGCATTATTTATTATGAATTCATATAGATAACATCTAATCTATCTTTTTATAAAAAGATGAGTTAGATGTTATTTATAAGATTTTACAATAATAACAAATAGTAAATGATGCACTTTATAGTTTAGTCAAATATTCAAATTTCATAAATTTGCTACAATATATAAAATACTAATATTTTTTTATATAATATATCTCATAATATTCTATAATTAAGGTTTTCCATTAGCATATTTAATTTTGGATACAACGAAAACTAATAATTTAAATCAAGAAGGGTTATGTACCGAAGCCCTTACAGGTTTTTTCTTTGCTCTTCGTAATAGTGGCCTAGATCTAATTTATTTTTACACAGACAAAGATTTTGCAGAGATCAATGCTGCAAAAGAAGTATAGCCTATGACTAATATACAGCTTTGTCTATGGCATATCGAAAAGGCAATTAAGGAAAAACTTAAAAGTCGTAAAAAAATTGAACACATAAATTATAAACATGAAGAAGTTGCAAAAGAATTTTCTTTTGTCAACCCTTCTTTATACCAGATTTACAATGCAAAGATAATAAATATTATATTGTTTGTCCACCTAATCTTCATGAAAATATTGTTAATATAGTTAGAATTCATTTTCATTTACATCCTAAAATTCCTATCAATGCTAATGGATAATTTTTGTCATCTAATGAAATAAAAACCAAAGCAATTTTAGAAATATATGAATTTTGCAAAGTAAATAATCTGGTAATACTCTGGACTTACTTATGGTCTTCTTGGTATAAACCTACAAGGTGGTGTTTCTGGATACGGTTCACTCAACCAACGATACCACTTGGTAAAACCAATATGAAAATTGAAGCACATTGGCATGTTTTAAAACATTGTTATCTTCATCAATTTAGTCGTCCGCGCCTTGACCATTTCATATGGATAATTAATTCTCGTATTGTACCTGACCAAACTAATCGGCTTCAACAATTGTTACTTGATAGAGTAGTACCATCATGGTTTGATGAATTCAGGAAACAGTGAAACAATTGTCTAGCAAAACCACTTAGTAATATTGAAGGTTGCTATTTTACTGATTTGGAACGTTGGATTTGCAACTGTCCATTTTTTTTTCAAAATCATTTTCTTATATATAAACACCTAATTCACCAAGCATCAGAAAAAGTAAAACCTGAAAGCATTCAATTAGTATATTCAAACTTTAAATGACAAACTGATTATCCATTTTTGATCTGGAATGGTAATAAATCGTGAATTATGTCTAAGAATGCTAGAAACTTTATGATAAATGATTCTGTTAATATTTTTGAACCATATAATACAAATGAAGGATATGAAAATATTACTGAAATATGTCAAACACTAGAACCTAAGGTTGCTGCATTACAACATTTAGTTGACCACATTAATGAGGAGTTTGCTACAAATAATCTTCAACATGTAGAAGCAATCATTACGAATCTGGATCATGCTTTTACAATTTTGTCAAATATTAAAAGGGAGAAAAACAAGAAATCACGAAGAACAACCTGGCGTAGGTCAAAACCTTGGACTATATATTTAAATAATACTTAAAAATAACTTTTTTATTTGTTAAAATATAATTACAATTGTTTGTTACATAGTTATGTTTTGTGCTAATTTATAAATTTTATTATTGTTACCTATTAATTAATAATATATAAAATAAAAAACTCACAAAGTAAACTATATATTATATTAAAATTCATTAACTAGAATAGACTTACTTTTAAACTTGAAAAAAAAAGGCTTATATATAATAAAAGGTGCTTCTCTTTTTAGCAAACTTTTCATTTTTATTTAACCAAATAGTAGAGTGCAGAACTTTGTCATGCTTTGTAGTTTTCAAGATCAAACATGTATCAATATAAAATTTGTACGTACATACATACATACATACTGTACAATATTAATCATAGGATAGAGATTACATGAACAGAAAATTGATCCTACACCCTGTCAAATTCCCACTCAGCCAACTACTACTAAACTGACCTTTTCTGACTCTGATAACAACAAGTTTGCCTCAACAATCTGTTCACAACCAAACAGGCCAACTTACAGTCAAGCCCTATTAAACAAACATATTATAACACCATCAAAAGAACTAGATGAAACAATACTCTAGAGTCAGATAGTTACCAATAGCCTTTTATGAAGACAAGGCCCCCTTGACTCGAACAAATAGAATATCGATGTAATACTCGAAGCATTTACAGATAAATCACCACTCACCTCCTTTTTCTTGCATAAATTTAGCTTATAGCTTATAGCATATAACTTACCTATCACTATAAAAACCAAGTTCGATCACTTCGACACAGCCTTTTTCAAATCCTTTACTCGAAATAAAGAAAAAGCCCCACCACATTAAATCGAATTTAATACACTTCTTAACATGGCCCTAGAAAAATACAAATGACAACATCAAACTCACTTCTTAAACAAAAACAACTGTAATCAAATCCTTGAAAAACTTAAACTCAAACTTGCAGTCGACTATATCACAAACATTGATTTTCTAAAAACTAAGCCTCATAACATCACCAGAAAGATCTTCTACTGTATCAACTTTGCCAAAATTGTCTACACTATTCAGTTCGAAAATACCTGCCAACTAATTCACAGAGCTTCACAAGAACACCTATTACCCCTTCCCACTTCAATCACAGATATTCCCCACAACATTATTGAACTTCTTCCCTTTGACCTCCCTATTATTAACCGCACACAAACTAGAGCAGTAGTAACTGCACTTTGATGCATCTACTCCTTCGAATCACTTCCAGACTGCTACTTTCAAGAACAGTTATTACCACTTCCTACAAACCCATTTGATCTTGACTCATCTCTTTGTGACTTGTTTCCTATCTTGGATTATTCTTCCTTACTATATCTAGCTCAATACAGAAAAAAACTTCAAAGACTTTATGAAGTCAAAAAGATCCCAGAAAATTACTTTGACCTATCTCCAAAAAAACTCCTGCTACCTCTAACACTACAGCAACTTCCACACAGATTCTGACAGTTTTTTCTTTGTAAACCCAAAGACAAATATGATCTCCAAATCTTCACAAAGATCCTCTGACCCCACTTTGGGTTTAAACACCTCCCAAATGATTACATTGTTCAAAAACCACACTTACCGGCTGAATCTATATCTATTACTACTAAAATCAATTACAACTTCCCAATACTAGAAAAAAAAATTGCAAAACAATTCATTGCTGAAGTTGAAGATCATTTCAACCTCTCTTCCCCTCTACTCCAAAACTATATTAACGTCAACTATACAAACAAACTGAACCTACCAACAGACCATCGGGCAATCCAAGAAATAAATTTAACTATTCCTATTACATCTCCCAAACAACTGGTCGATATCGCTAAAGAGTTACGAAATCATTACTTCTTCTATCGCATCTCTACTTTATGGATTAATATCCCCAAAAAAAATACCCCAACCAAAAACCTACTTTACCTAATATCTTTAAAGACTTAATCACTCATCTCTCAAAACTTGACCTTGAGCTACTGGCAATGCTTCCAATTAAAGCATATTCCAATGCCGAAAGTATAATCAACAAACTTCGAACATATTTTGCTGTCAGATTTATACCTGACTACATACTGGCTCTACCTGATTTATCTCTTTCTAACTAGCAAATCTTTGACAACTACTCACCTTCCAACCCATACCCAAAATTCACAAACTTTTCCCTAAACAAAATTACACATAAGTAACACAATATTATCACCTAATGGCTTACTACCACCACTTGGCTTAACATCAAATTTAATTTTCATCAACCATAACATACAGGGCATTAACCAGCCACTAAAACTTTAATTATTCTTAGAAGAATGTCACAACTTTCAAGCAGACTTAATCTTTATGACTGAAACTAAATTATCTGACACTTCATCCAACTTAGCCTCCCTCTTAAACCCTTTATTTAAGATATTCACATCAAACTGCAATCCAACTAATGCAAATGTGAGAGAAACCTGTATGGGTACAGCAATAGCAATGAAACATCATCTACAAATCTATATTCATAATATCTTAACAATCCCTGGATTTGCACTTCTCATTGACCTATACTTACCCAAAAACAATCATACAAGACTAATTTCGATCTACCTTCTATCTAATATAACTACACAAGCCAAAAAAGCCCAAGACCAAATCACCCATTGGATAAACCAAGCTCATAGCTGATATTTTAATATCATCGTAGCAGGTGACTTCAACAACAATATTAACCAATGAAACTTTTATCACAACACAACTTTGCTCTAATCTCTGTCAAGTTTGAGATTCATCAGTTTGCTAGAACTACATAATATTACAGAACCCACTTGGCAAAGAAACACATACTTCAGCCAAATTGACGATTTTTGGGTTACTCTAGAAATCGCACTGGCATTCTCAAGGCCTACATATATTGATCCTACCTCATCAACACAAAGCGATCATACAATACTCCAATCCACCTGGGAACTTTCTCTATTTCAAAACCAACCACGAACAAAAAAACAACACCAAAAAAAATACCTATACTCTCAGACAACCAATGAACAATGGAATGGCTTTGCCAACTATATTACAACTTACCTAACAGCATCCTCACGCTTCCTCTAACCTATCCTTAACACTACAACACTTAACAAAACTTGGAATAATCTGAACAATATCATGGAACAAGCTGCAAAAACCTACTTACCTGCAACCTACACCTGCCCCAAAAAATTCTTTACTCACACCTTTAAAGCTACTATATTGCACAATGCATTAAAAAAAGCAAATTATACTATTGTTAAACTTAAGTGACCCACCCCTTTCTTATCCAATTTTGTAGCAGACCATTTAAACAATATGCTACAACAAATTAACAAACTAACTAGTACTTCTATAATAACTCTGACTCCCCAAAGCCTAGAAACACAGCAATATAACAAAACACTACTTCAGCTAAAAAGTATTAGAAATACACTGTATTAAGCATGCAACATTGAAAATAATGCCCAGAAAAAAGCAACTATTCAATCGCACGTACTGCGCCGTTATGATAATTTTGCCAACAATACAACCCTAATGATAAACAGTATATTAAAACAAACACATACCCCTATTTCATACAATAATATCACTACCCAACTGACATTATAACTGATCCTAATAAAATCAAAGAAGCAACAAAGAAACATTTTCACAACTGGACCAAATCCAACCTACCTACCCCTCATCCTGGACAGAATGTGAAAGCTACTACCAACCACTCAGCAACATTCCACCTAATACCTTCCAGTCCCTAGTAAACCCCATGACTTGTGAAGAGGTTCAAACAACAATTAATAATACACCCCAAAAAAAAGCAACCGGCCTCTCCCTTATATCCAATGAGATGCTAAAAAAGCTCTCCCAACACGCAATTAAACAACTAACACATATTTTCAATGCCTGCCTCAACCTTCAAAGCATATTACAGCTATGGCATAAAGGCCTAGTATGGCCTATCACTAAGAAAGGATACCTACTGGGTAATCTAAGCAAAACAAAACCCATCATGTTAATTGAACACTTAAGAAAAATATTTACAAAAATATTAACCAACCGCCTCAACCAAATATTAATCAAATACAATATACTAGACCCAGCAAACCATGTAGCACTTCCATATACCTCTACTCTGCAACCCATCCAACAAATCATGCACATCTTGGAAGATGCCCATACACAAAACAAAGAACTCTGGGTACTCTCTCAGGACATGCCGAAAGCCTACGACACCATATACATTTCTCTGCTTCAGAAAACACTTGAGCGCATCCAAATTCCCCAAGGATTTATTCAACTACTTACCAACATTCTTGCATACTGACAAAACCAAGTCATCACTTCTCTTGGAAAAACACGACCCTACGCTGTTGAAGATAGACTCGACCAAGATGAAACTATCTTACCCATCCTGTGGCGAATATATTACGACCCCCTGATCCATCGAATAACTTCTACAGCATCTGGCTACTCAATGACAACACATCCTATTACAATACAAACAGTAAAGCAGACATCAACCACAGTTATTGCATACATGGACGACACCACCTAGATTGCCAATAGTAGAATATTACTCGAAACCATCTTATCTATTGCTTCATCCTTCTACACCTTCGCCCAAATTACTATCAACCCCAATAAGTCAATACTCTTACACAACAACACCTCTGACTCACTCCCAATAACCTTCCAAAACCAACCTATATACAACCTCTCCTCCAAAGATACTTTCTGATTTCTTGGAACTTACATATACTACCTCCACAACAATAGACCGATTATCCGAAAACTAAAGCACAAACTAAACCAAGAATTAAACAAGCTATGCCACTCTCTCATCACCGAAAAACAAACCATCTATATCATAAATATAGTCTTACTTGCTTATCTATTTTACTGATTATCAAACACTTACTTAACCACTGCTAAGGCATCCAACTTTACTAAACACTATATTGCTATTATCAAAACAAAAACAATGATATCCTGC